GAATGTATGGATTGTGATAAGAGATGTAAGAGCCCCCCATAAAAGTATTTTTTTAAGGAAAGAAGGGAAGACAGGTGGTAGTTTTCAGAGAGCAAGCCCCAGAGCTCGGCTGGCTCTGAAGCTTGAGTGGGGTCTGGCTGGGCGTGGAAGAAGGGGAAGGGGTGGGTTTCCAGTGATGAAGGAGAGGTCTTCTCTTCACCCAGGACATTCCCCGGGAAGGATGGAGATGGAAAATTAAGAGCCAGCCTGACCCCAAATAATGTTTGCCTTCCAGACAGGCCTCCCTGCCCACACCACCAGGTCCCCCATTTCCAGGATGCCACAGGCGGCTCAGGTGCAGGAACTCTTCCACGAGGAAGCCCAGCAGGTAGGCAGGGGTGAGGTAGGGGCCTGTGTGCAAGGTGGGCTTAGTAGCCAAGGGAGATGAATGGAAACATTTCAGTGTATTGTTTTAAAAAATACTAATTACCATGGAAGCATGTGTTGGTATTCCATTGTGATCAAGAAAGTATTACCAGAGGACTTGAAAAAGTTTGAAAATGGAAATAAGGGATAAAATAAAAAAATATAAACTAGTTCTCCATGTGATAGATATCATCAAGTTCAAGAAACGTTTGTAAGCAATGATAGCAGCCTTGGGTCCACCCCTGAGGACCAAAGGGTCCTGGGTACTTAGCCACGGCAGTGCCGTCTTTTGCATATCAGTATCTGAAGGGGGAAAAAGGTGTCTTTAAAGATTTTTCTTCTTTTAAGCAAAAGGGAAGACATTTATTGGAGCCAATACAGGAAAGCCTAGAGGGGCCCGGCACACCCTACTGTGTGGGGATGCCCAGCAAAGGGTCACACCATTTACTGTACCCCATGTCCCAGAGGGACTCCTCTTGAGTTGAGCCCCAAAGCCCCTGGGACTGGCTGGGGGTGGGGACGCCTTTAAAGGTTTTTAAGGATTGTTTTTGTTAAATGCTATCAAGTCCCTTCTAGCGACCCTGCCAGGTCCTGCTCCATCCTCACAATTGTTCTTAACTTTGAGCCCAGTGGCGCAGCCACCGTGTCAGTCTCTCTTGCCGAGCATCTTCCTCTTTCTCGCTGCCCCCCTCCTTTACCCAGCATGACCTCTTTCCCCAGGGACTGACTGGTCTCTCCTGATAACACGTCCAAAGCATGTGAGGTGAAGTGGCGCCATCCTTCGCTTCTAAGGAGCATCCTGGCTGGATTTCTCCCAAGACAGATCTGTGTGTGCTTCCGACAGTCGATGGCACTTTCTGTGTTCTTCGCCTCGTGAGAGTTCCGGGAGCCCTGGTGGTGCTGTTGGCTAAACATTGGATGGCTAACTGCAAGGCCAGAGGTTCAAGCCCCCTAGTCATGCCAAGGAGAAAGCCGAGGCTGACTGTGCCCATAAGTAGATAGAAAGCCGTAGGGACCCTATGGAATTGCGATGAGCTGGAATAGGCTCAATGACAGTGGGTTTGTTTTTCTGTGTTTTTCTTAAGATTATGAAAACAAAAATAAGTCAGAAGAAGCCAACCCAGGACCAGAAAGTGGATGCCTCATGATTTGCCATGGGAACTCACCCAAGGGCCCTAGTCTGATGAGAGGAATGAGCGGGATTGCTGAGGTGGAGGACCGTTTTGTGACGCTCTCCTGGGCTGCTGTTTGCTAAAGCTTTGGCTATCTTTCTCAAAACCCTTTCCTACTCAGCAGAGGTGACTGTTCTTTCACAGTCCAGAAAGTCAACAAGCAAAATGCCGTGGGCATCCTGAAAACCTGCGGCCGTCGCCTTGCTCTTGACTGGTCTTCTCTCGCTACGACGTGACCACCTCTACTTCTCGGTGGCCAGGGCTTTGATCATGCTCCGTCTTCGGGGTTGTGCCCTGTCTCATCTCCCGCTGCAGTTCCTCCAAGAAGCGCTTCAGGATCTTGATCCCCTTTGTTTAAATTCCATGCACTCTTCTCCTATGTAGAGGATCCGGGTAGCACACCCTGGAGCGGAGGGTCCTCTGGACTCTAAGTGTTCCGTCAGAATGGTGTAAGGTGAACCGGAGATGACCGGTGTGTCGGCTGTTTGCTTCTCCTGTCTAACCACCGGTTGGCTGTTTGCTTCTCCTGTCTAACCGCCGGTCCTCTTTAGCTCAGGCACACACAAGATTCATTTCTTTCCTCGCAAATTGATGTGGACGACCTGCTGCTGTTTCTTGCTTCTTCCTCTTTAACACCGTCTGGTCCCTTCTTAAACCTGGTGTTCATGTGTGAATTCCTGATTTTTAAAAAACTTTTAATTGTTTTCATTTAAATTTTTCATCAGCATTTAATTTTTTTCTGAGTGTTTTCTTTTTTTATATATTTTAAATCACTTTATTGGGGGCTCATACAGCTCTTAGCACAATGCATATCCATCCATGGTGTCAAGCACATTTGTACATTTGTTGCCCTCATCATTTTCTTTTTTCTTTTTTTTCTAATCATTTTATTAGGGGCTCATACAACTCTTATCACAATCCATCCATACATCAATTGTGTAAAGCGCATTTGTACATTCATTGCCCGAATTCCTGATTTCTTGTGGGTGTTATCGCTGTAAATTTTTCATCAAGCATCAATGATTTCACCATTTTCCACCTAAGATTCACCATAAATTTGATGTCTATCATTCAGTTTTGGCAAAATCGGTGTTGCTCTCCCAGGGCTCTTTTCAAAGGAATATCTTACCCTCCTTGACCCCTCAAACTAGGTCTTGTTCAGATATGTTGTAACCCAAATAAGGAGTTTATTTTGGTGCCAAGAATATTTGAAATTCACACAGTTTTTTTCCATATATGCATTTTCCGCGAACTCTTACATAGTCAACTCTTTCCTCATAGTCAACTCTTAACCATCTGTGTACAGAAAACTTCTTTCACAGCATTTGTGCTGAACTTGAGTCCCGGATTCCTCTACTCGGTAATGAACGGGAAGTCTTCCATGAGCAATCGGGGAGGACTCGGCTAATTTGGACTTTTACCAGTGACTCAAACCAGTATAAAAACTCCTATGTACTGAAGCAAGCTGTGTGACTACATATCTGTAGGGCTATCTTTGTCTTTGCCTCATTTTTCGTCCCCTCAAGGGTCATTAGGGTGCCCTGGTTGCATAGTGGTTGTGATGAGTTGTGCTGCTAATTGAAGGTCAGCAGTTCAAAGCTGCCAGCCACTCGTGGAAAAAGGCGGGGATTTCTACTCCAGCAAAGAGTTGCAGTCTCAGAAACACACAGGGGCAGTTCTACCCTGTCCTGTCGGGTCACTGTGAGTCAGAATCGACTCATTGGCAGTGAGGGCTCTTTTTGGTCTATTTGGTTTGTTGTAAGGGTCACTAGTGATAGTAAGTATGTACTGTGTAGGTAAGAAACGGAAGTGAGTCTTTCCAGAAATAGAGAATGAAGCCCTTAAGAATGAAAAAAAGGCACTCAAGTGTTTATCAGAAAACTACTGAGCCCAGAAGCTGCCGCAGCCCCTGCCGCTCATTCAGCCTTGAGGTTATCAGTGTCCCTTGGAGTTCCTTCAGGCTTAGTAGAGAGGACTGGGAGGGGAGGCCTTCTCTCTACTAAAAAGGGGGAACCGCACCCCCCACCCCCCAACCCACAGGCGGGAGAACCACCTCCAGAGAGCTGATCAAATGTGCGGGTGTGTTAACTCCCTCTTCCTCAATGTCCAGTCATGTTAAAGCCTCTTGCTGGTCTGATGGAGCCTGGGGGAGCTCCCAGACGATGGCCCAGGGTCCTTCTTCAGCCCTGGAATGGAACTCACCCCGCGGCTCAGCTTCCAGCCAAATAAGGACAGGTGTGTAAGACGAACGGTGTCACCTGGGAGTCTGCACTCCCCAGCCACGCGAGATCAAAAGGGCAGCGTTTGCCCAGGGACAAGCTGCAGAGGACTGGAGGAGTCAGAATGGAGCAGGAGCGGAGCAAGGCACACGCGGGAAGGGCACGGGGAGAGGACACTGCACAGGGCGCCATGAAGCTGTGTGTGTGTGTGTGTGTGTGTGTGTACTGTTGGAGGGAAACCAATTTGTTCTGTCCATTTGCATCCAAATCACACAAAAAAGAAGACAGGAAAAGAGAAGACATTAAAGGAACAACACCAGAAAGGTCAAGGTCTTTGTCTTTGGCCCTGTGGATGGATGTGAAGGGCCTTGAGGATGTCGTGGGTAGCACATTGGGTCCCTAAATGCAAGGTCAACGGTTGGAAACCACTAAACAGGAAGCCGTGTCTTTCTACTCCCGTCCAGAGGGACAGTCTCGGAGACCCACAGGGCCGTTCTACTCCGTCCCCTAGGGGTGCTAAGGGTCCAAATCCACTCAATGACGCGAGTTATTTTTATATTTTAGTGAAAAAAAAGTATTTAACCTATCTCTGATCTATCTGTCTGTCTGTCTGTCTGTCTGTCTGTCTATCTATCTATCTATCTATCTATCTATCTATCTATCTATCTATCTATCTATATTTTGAGATAGATTTGGAACCCACCTTGCCTTGTCTCAGCCTCCTGCCCTCCCCATCGCGTAATGGAGGCACGAATGACCCAGGAGGGGCTGGAGGTGAACAATAATTCCATTGAGGATATTTTCCAGACCGAGGCTAAACTGGGTATGGAATTTTTCTGGAGCGTGTGCGTGTGCATGTGCGTGTGCGTGTGGGTGTGTATGAAGACCCACCGAACTTCTAGCAGGCCTGTGTCTCGTTCTCGGAGCGGTGACTACAGACTCTAAGTTATGATAGTGCACTTGAACCTGGGACATAGGTTCTAGTGTCAGAACATGCCGTTGGACATGCCAGGCCGTGGGCAGGTTATTCCCGGGCTTCCAGTTCTTATCTCTGTGACTCTGAGGGGTGGGGTGCGCATAGCGATCCTCCCGGTTTGGCAGGTTTACAGCAAGATGCCGTCAGTGGCAGGGAAGCTGAATGCCTGCCACCTGGAGAGCACTGCGTGGAACACCTGTCCAGTGGCTGGATGAAGGGACGCCGTGCAAAGCCCCGGGATGAGGGCTTTGTGGAACCCGTCCGGGGCAGGACTGCTAACAAGAAGTTGTGCTAGAGCAGCAGTTCTCAACCTGTGGGTCGCGACCTCGTTGGGGGTCAAACAACCCTTTCACAGGGGTCACCCAATTCATAACAGTAGCAAAATGACAGTTATGAAATTGCAACGAAATAATTTTATGGTTGGGGGGGGCGCGCCCACAACATGAGGAACTGGATGAAAGGGTGGCGGCATGAGGAAGGCTGAGAACCACGGTGCTAGAGGGTGGTGAATGTCAGGCTGCAGAGCCGGGATTCCGTGTTGGTCTCAGCCAGATACTGAGCAGAAGAGGATGCGACAAGTATGGTGTTTTAGGAGAGGATTCGGTTGGCAGGAGAAAGGAGGGTAGCGTGAGAGACAGCAAGTGGACTTGTCCAGTGTGGTTCGCAGGCCAGCAGCATCGAGCGCTTTCAGCGTGTAGGAGAGCGGGAGGATGCCGTTCAGCCCAGCAGGTATTTATTGAGTGCCTCTTCTTGCCAGGATGGCCTGCTGTCGCTGCTGCTCCTGGAGCTAGTAAAATCAACACGGCTTGCTTAGAAACCTCTCCGGGTTGGGTCATCTAAAGAGAAACCTTGAAAGAGAAGCCGTACCAGGCTGTCACTTGGGGACCCAAAGCAGCAGGGTGACGCACTGTTCCTTGCCCACCAGCTTTCCTCCAGAGACGCGAGCTGCTGGGGGCAAGTCCGTGAGGACCCTTCCCTCGGAGGTCTGTGGGTCAAGTGTGACTTGCCTGCCCAGAGCACCCCAGAAACAAGCTGAGTGTGACCCAGGGAGCAGGTGCTCGTCAGCAACATGTCGCCTGGCCCAGTCTGAGAGGAGGTGTTTCCAGGTCTCTGAGGCCTGCTCTGTCCCAGGGTGGGCCCCTCCTCTGGACCTGCTCCTGGTCTCTGTGGCCAGTGGCCAGCACAGCCCGCCTCCCCGCCCCTGCCTTTTTGCGGCTCTGCCATCGCCTCCCTTGCTCTGTCCCCGTCTTTGCCCCTAAGTTCAGTGGCGGGGTCTTCAGTGCAGTGCCCTTGCTTAGCTTGTCAGGAGACCAGCCCAGAGGTGCCAAGGCTGTGCGGCCAAGGCACATGGAGAGGGGGCAGCGCGAGGTTGGCGCCAAGGCTGTGCACTTGGAATAGGATCTGAGTGTTAGGTTAGGATATAATTTTGAGCACTAGCGTTAGTGTCCATGGGAAAAAACCTTGGCTTTCATTTTCTGTATCCTCATTAGTTTGTGGTCTACCCTTAAGAACAGACTTGTGTTTTCTCCTAGCATCTTTTCCAAATGGTTGTACAATCTTTGAAAGGCCAATATGCAAAGTAAACACTGACAGCCATACTCCTAACCATGACCCTGACCCTGACCCTAACCCTAAACCCTGACCCTAACCCTAACCCTAACCCTGACCCTGACCCTAACTCTAACCCTAAACCCTGACCCTAACCCTAACCCTAATCCTAAACCCTGACCCTGACCCTGACCCTAACCCCTAAACCCTGACCCTAACCCTAAACCCTAACCCTAATCCTAAACCCTGACCCTAAC